ATTTTTCCACAGTTCGTTTAGCTGGTGCTTCATCCTGATAAACATCCTGAATGTTTTTTACGGCTGCGGCAACGTTTATTCCCTTCCGAAACTCGTAAAGCATAACATGCCGTAAATGCACCTTATCGATACTCATTTTTAAAGTGATATTTCTCGAAGCAGTTTGTATGAAAACAAATGATTTTTTTTTTAATAACAGCTGAAGACGTCACCTTTCCAACGTTATATAATATGTAGATGGAAGTATTAATGACAACACTTTACAACGTTTATAACTCCATCTATTGAAACTCCGCACGAACTTTTGCACTCACCCAATATAAATTTTGATATTTTTCTCAATTTGAAATAAATGAAAAATTTAAAATTAAAAAGAAGTGTAACAATTTGTGTATTTTCATCGCGAAAACAAGTTCTATTAAAATGAACTTTAAACTATAATTTCGTGAATTTCTTACAATCTGATGTATATTACAATTTATATTGTATCCAATTTTAATTATTAATGTTTTAGACTAACTTTTGGAAGAGATGAGATGTCCATTTTTTTTTAATTTATATTAAAAATTTGAATAATTCAATATTTGCATGTGTTACAAACGTGAATACCATAAATATCAAATTATTTCAACAATTTCAAATAAGTTATAAAAATTTTATTTTTAATTACAATTAATTAAACAATTGGATATCCGTAATATTCATATTTGTAACAAATATGCAAGACAAAATTTTTATCATAAAACTATTTTATTCAATTGGATAGAATAAACATACTTGAAATTTAAAGTATTCGTAATAGTTATTAACAGTCAATTAGAAAGTAATTTTATTAAAAGTACATTTACTTTTATATAAACTAATTTTATTAAATTTTAAAAATATATATATTCTCGTAAATATATATTTCTTTTTATTACAAATAACAAACATATATTTTTAAATATATGTAACATATATTATAGAAAAAAGAAACAACGTTTCTGTACAAACTGTAAATAAAAACGAAAATAAAATTTGGAAACGTTGTAATGAAATCGACATTACACATTAAAATAAAAACGAAAAAAAATGTCTGAAAACGTACATTACAATAAACTCACAAAAACTAAAAAAAAACATCTGAGAACATACGTTATAATAAAATCACAAAAAGAAGATATTGAAATAATAATTGATTGAAAAATGATAAAAACTGATAATATTTTAATAAAACCTCATCTATTTTAAAAGTATTAATTATTTTCGTCAGTCATTTGTTCAGGTCCGGCGGGTTTTCCTTTCTCTTCTCTCTGTTTTCTTTGTTTGGCAAAACGCAGCCATTCCGCCACTATATTATCAAATCCAGCCTCTGTTAAAGTAGAATGTTGTAAAGTAATTTCTCCTAGAAAAAAATTAATGTGTTAGTATATATAAAATAATATTGGAATAATTTTTGGTTAACGGATGCTTTTAATAACGTGTAAAACATACTTCTCATTATTTTAATGAAATATAAATCGGAGACTTTAAAATTATTACGAATGCCTTTCCACGAACAATTAAGAGCGCACTCGTTTGTGAATAGTTTTGACAGAGTGCGATGAATATTATCCCGAGGATTAATTTCTCCTATTTTGAACAGAAAGTCTTTCTATAAACAGAAATAAACAATTAGACAATTTAATATTTTATTATGACAATACTTTATTTCAATGATAACACTGAAAAAAAACCAATATGCAATGATGTACACTAACAAATTTTAAAAATGTACACTAAAAAAGAGCAATTGCAAATAGCGAAGCAATAATACAGTATCGAAATAAAACTACTATTGAAATAATTTCAGGATTTAATATCTACATACACAAGGAAAATTTATGTGATATGAACGAATTAATGTAAAATTAATGTAAAAACTTACGAATTGTATTACTGCTTCATCAGTATCGTGTAATAACGCTTCAAAGTCTCGTATGCTTTCAATTGTTCGTAATGGTAAAATTATACTGTTCTTATCGCTGTTCCTTAAAACGGGAGTGCAAGTTGTCATTGCTTCTTCTGTTCTGCTTACTCGTTGTTTCAAATCTTATAATATTAAATTCGACGTTGCTTGCATACGTAACATTTCTTTTAAATATTCTGCAATACAATAACTAATGTTACACCTATTACTAAAGTAATAAAGTATGTTATAGATAAAATATAAAATAATGTTAGATATTTGTAATTCAAATTATATACGCACACACATATATAATAGCTGCTATTGAAATAGTAGCCAAAAGCAAAACTACTTTTACTGATATGTATCATTACTTTTCTTCAATGTATCTTTATATTGTTTTGTGCCTTTTTAAAATTTTACGAGGCACCGAATTCCATTAGGAGAATTATTCCAATTGATATCAGTGACGGAGCGTGTGAATTGTCAAAACATCTTTTATAAATTGCAAATATTCTCCTAAATGCCTAATCAGATTATGGATTGGAGATTGAAGACTGTGAATTAAAGGTTAAAATTAGATTAATTGGAATAAAACTAACCAAGATCGAAGTTCGTCGAAATATAATGTTCAATCCAATTCTCAATCATTGATACATTATCTAATACGAGTATAATAGGATCTGATGACCTGTAAAATTTTAAAGCATAGGACATAATATAAGAATGCATTGAAGACATGTTATGATATATATCAATAAAAGTAGTTTACTTTTTGGTACAATTTCAATAGCACCAGCAATGGTAAAAAGTTTGGACAAAAGTGACAATAAAAAATATTGAAACATCTTTCTTATTAATGGAATGACTCTTTTTTTAGGGACTTAGACTTATTTCCTAAAATTAAAGAACTCATCACAAGTGCACAGTTTTGTAATATGCAAAAGATGTTTAAAGCAACAGGGCATTCCATCGCGGATATTAAAAAAAAATACTGCAGTGATGGAATGCACTTACTCCCATAAACTTTGAACAAGTTGTGGAACATGATATTATATGGAAAAAAATTTAATATTAAATATCATTTAAATAAAGTATTGCATTTTTTTATTTGTTGCTACTATTTCACTATTAACCATCGCGCGCGCGTACACGTGTGTGTGTGTATGTGTGTACAGAGTATCTAGTAACTTGTGAAGCAGTCGCGATGTACAAATAGAACAAATAACGGTGTATAAATAGGTCAAAATCATTAGAAAAATTATATACCATTTTGTAATTTTCTCAATATTTACTCCGTAATTAATGAAAATATATAAGCAAATGAGTACATAGGAAGCGGTAGAATAAACTCTGTGTAAAAAAAAAATGGCTTATTTCTTAGCAACGATAAGTAACAGTTGATTTTTCGGTGCGCGACCGTGTTATATACTGCATTTCATTCCGTCTCCAAATCAACTGTTACTCATCGTTACTAAGAGGTAAGCCAATTTTTGTGCACATAAAGCCCATTCTACCGTTTCCCGTGCGCTCATTCGTTTATATATCTTAATTAATTACAAAGTAAATATTGATAAAATTACAACATGGTGTGTAACTTTTCTGATTATTTTTATCCGTTCTATCTGTACACTGCGGCTGCTTGATGAGTTACGGAACACTCTGTACATTAATACATACTTTTTATATTTGGATCTTCTTGTACCTTTGCAGACGATGAAACACACAATGAAGAACCTACAATGTTTAGACATATTAATGTTATACTGTTAAAACTTATTTTTGTTGATTTCAACAATGTGTACTTACTTTCCATTTATCGTATGATTGTACATCGTCGGATGCTTCATAGGTTTTTATTTGTTCTGGAAATATATACAATATTATATTACAATAATAATGAATATTACATATCACGTTGATAATAACAGTATATACCATTATGACGTTGTGACGTTGAAATGTCGTTTCTATTATTATTCCTCACATTAATATCTTCATTAATATTATATATATCACTGCATGTTAAGTCGCCCGGAAATGATGGAATGGCAGAAACTATTTTTCTTGTATTAATTGATCTCTCTGCACACAAAATATTATTTTATAAACAAGCGCCTATAGTATTCGATAAAACAAATATGTAATTTCATTTATTTATATTAATGTTGCAAAAGCTCCCATATAAATAAAACTAGACAGTTGTTCTCTAGGAATTGTTAACGTTTAGTAACATTTTGAAAGAATTATAGCTATTAATAAATACATATATAATATTTTAACTGGAGGGCTTTCACATTTAATTTTATTTAATATATCTACATACGAATGAACTTGTGATAACAGTTAGACATTTTGTATATTAAGCATACTAAAGCATGCTGTTATATAATGTATATTCTTACTCTTATATGGTCGAAGTATATTGTTTTCTTTTTCCTCTTCTTCGCTGCTATATCGGTTCGGTTCTATATGTAGCCTTTTGCCACGTCCCAATCTGTCTTCATCGGTTGTTTGATAATTGGAGTCAGCTGCACTTCTTCTTGCCGATTCTAGAGATGCTACAATAATGAAAAAATTAATATTTATTATTCCTTATGTGTATGCGCATGTATGTGAAGTATAATAATAAAAGCATTATAAAAAAATTAATTCAACTTTAGTATATAAAGGCTATTAGTAACACCAAAATAAAACAAGCTATCAATATATGGACTTACTACAGGATTTTATAACATCAACTTCATATTGATTCCAAGTTTCCAAACATGGACTTACGCAATTGGCTATAAAGTTAGCGGCATTTGCTGTCCGTGGTGGCCACAAGCACAGCTGCTTACTGCCATCGTGCATAAACCATGATGTATTTCGGAGTAAGAGTCATCTATAAGAAACTTTACAACGGAATATTTCTTACTTGTTCCAGTTTCGCAACGATCCATCTTTATTTTACCATATAATCTATAAAAGAAAGTAATATGTTACCATATATGAATTATTTCAATTTCAAATATTTATACTCTTAGATAGGAAAGTTGTCCGTTATTTATCGAATCGAGTTTGTGAACTTACCTGTTTTATCTAATGGAACTATTCTTCCATTAGAAAACAAGTTCTCTTATTAAATAAAACACAGTTCACAAATTCACCCTGAAAATGACGAACTTTTCTATTTACAAGTATACATCAATTATAAAGTGTATATCAATTATATTAGCGACTGTACTAGATATAACATTAAGAAAATTATATTGCTTTAATGTTAAAATTTATACAATAAATACAATATTTCCTTCTTGCATTCAAAAAAAATTAAAATAAATTCTTTGTTAAAAAATAGTGATTTTATATTTTAATAATTAACTGTCCAATCAAAATTATATTTTTGCAATTTTTTCATAATTTCAATTACATAAAGCAAATTGTTAAACTACAAAATTATACATTAATATGCCACCTTTGTAAATATTCTACTCACCTTATAAATGTTTGTTTTATTGAATGCGGATAATATTTTCACGTTTCCAAGTATGTAAGTATATCAGTATTTATTTATTCAAGACGAAGAAACACGTTGCAATGATTAATATTCATCATCATATTTTTTTTGGTTTGTTCAAATACTTTCTAATTAATAACAATGCAGAGCATCTAATTGTTAGTATGAAGTAGTGGTATTGTAATATAAGAATCAGGTTGGTCCGTATTTTTCAATATTAAACATTTTTTCTTGATTTCGGTGAGTGGAACTGTTATAGTTTCTGCCGCAGTTGTGCTTAAAATTATAAATATATCCAACTCTTCCGAAGCACATGGAACAGTAAAAAAAGATTTTGTATTTAAAAAACGTTTCGCATGAAAAAATAATATGCTGTTCTCATTAATTATATCTAAAATAAAAATTAAAGAATTATCATTAAGCAAAGCACACTTGTCAATTTCAGTTAATGCAATTTTAAAGTTTTCATATTGAACATAAGAAATTTTTTTATTATTTGTGTAAATGACAGATGGATAATTTATTACAGAGTGCTGTATAATTTCTTGTTGAGATACTTCAAATATGAGATTTGATAATTCTTGTAACGGTTTTCCACAATTATGCAATTTTCTTTTTATTTTTTGCATATGATTTTCGAACTTAAAGCAACTGAAATTATCAAGACACCCAAAAATTTTTACATCATTAGCAATATGAATAAGATTATGAACATTGTGTGATATATATTCTTCTCCGTAAATAACTCCGTAATTGGATACAAACCATAATAATAATGAATAAGCATAAGCAAGATATTTCGTGCATAATTGCGGATTAGCCATTATTCTTATCGCAATACTAAGGGAAAGGAAATGGTTATACCATAGCGGAGATAAGGTTGACTTCAAAATTACTATTCCAGTATATAACAAAAATTGGCGCAATTCCGTAGCTTTCCATCTATCAATATCGAGTAAAGTTCTAGGCTTTCTTGCAAATTCAGATGGAATGCAATATTTTATATTTATTAAATGTTGTGAAGTTAAATTAATATTTTCTGCATTTAATCTGTTACTTTTATTTTCCCTAATCCACAATTGCAATAACCGTTTCGTAACACCCAAGCAAATAAGGTGCATATAATCAAGTGGGATTTGTGAAACCATCTCGATGGAAAGATTTTCCAATATAGAATCGCCTGTATGATGTTCAGTTTGACTTCGAATTTTAAACGAGTTATCTGTACGTAACATACTATTAGTTTCAAGGAAAATTACTGTATTGTTTATGAAGTCGTCTTCTTGAACACATTTAGAACACGAGAAATATCTTGTGTGACCCTTTGTGCACGTTATGAATGATTTAGCTGGAGCATCACACAATATTACGTTAATACTCACTTTATATTTATTATTATGAACAATTATACCACTTTTGGATAAGAATAAAAATTCATCAACAAAACTGGTGAGGAAATCATTTACATTGCTTGGTTTACACATACCGTGATATACACCAATTACAAATGGCAATGAATGCCGATGAATACCAATATCTTCAATCGGTCCCATTATGGGCCAGAATTGGCTAGTAGAACTCTTCTAAATTGGCAAGCCATCTATATTTATGTTTATTTTAATTTCACTTATCTTAATAAACTTGGAATATATTTCTATGGATCGAGCTAAAACTGAAGTAAGACCAAAATGTATATAATGACCATTACCCATGCATTTAATATTTACAGATGCATTGCGTGGCGTATGAAGTAAAACCCTAACATCACTAGGCAATTCTATATGACCATGTTTTTTTAATATTGCAAGTAACTCATTAGCAGTACTGTGAGGGATGTTACGTTGTATAATTAACTTTTGTAAGTCTTTACGTAAGCTTTGCTCTTTGCTGCTCTCAGAAATATTGGTTAATATAGGTATATTTTCTTGTGATTCAGGAATATATTCTTCATCACTTTCATACTGCAACTCTACTGATAATTTCTCCGATTGCTTTGTATCTTTAAGTGATACATTATTAGTATACGATATGTTATCAGAATTTACAATAATATTATCTGCTTTTACTATAATAATAGATGCTGCATTGGGTGAAGCTCTTTCCAATAAAACATTATTTTCACTATTATATACATCTTTACTAATAATTTGATTCCTTCGTCTGTTTGATAAATACTTAACATCTTTAGGCATGACGGATGTAGAATACAACTTTTGCCTAAACAAAGATTACAGAAATGTGCACTCATTACATATGTCTATCAGAACTTGAAGTCTTAAAAATTTAATATAGTTTAGTACATTAAGGCCCGATTGCATCAACATTATTTTGATTTTAAGCTAGACTTTAATATGTGTTTGTCTTTAGTCATTTTGATAGAAAGATAAAAATATATACATGTTTAAGTTTCGCTTATAACCCAAAAAAATGTTGGTGCAACCGAACCTAATACTATTAGTTTACTAGTACATTAATATTATTATTGTTGCATTCATCAATATTGTTTTCTTTCTCAGATTTCTTTTATGTGAGAAATTAATACTGATCTTCTAAGATGTAAATAATATGACAAAAATCTATAGACGGCACTCTGAATTTTTGTTTTCTTTCAAAGTTTTTTTTTATTTTTTTACAGAATAAATGTTTATAGAATACATTTTACAGAATAAATTTATGGATTAACAGATTTAATGCGATGGAGATGTAGAAAACACGGCATTAAAGACAATTTTAAAGCAATATTAAATATGAAGAAAATATGAGATGTTATGATATAAAATGTTAATAAATTTTGTTAACTATTATGCATTAAAGTATTGTTAAAAAAAATAATATACAAGTTATGAGAAAACAATGTTAAATAATATTTTGAAAATATTTTACTGTACACACATTCATACACACATATATGTATAGAGTGTCCAGTAACTCGCGAACCAACCAACAACAGGTAGGTTAGATAAAATTGAAGAAAAAATTTCTTTATTTAACTTCTCTTTTATGAACAATCATACGAACGCCATAATAGATGAGCTGTGATAGCGACGTCTACTTGTATATCAGGTTGAACTAAAGAAAAAAATCCTTTCATTTACCTAATAACCACATAGATTTTTATTTATTAATTAAAAAAGATTGATACATTATTTATACAATATTAATCCCACAATCATATACTAATGTTTAATATATAGTACGTAATCATTAAGAAATCTTCTCTGATTGATAACTATAAATTTTGTGGTTGTTCGCAAAATGATAGAGGAATCTTTTGATCAGTTTCATCAAATCTATCTGTACATAGCAACTTTCTCTAATTACTGAACAACCTGTGTATGTGTGTGTGTGTGCATATATGTCTCACACAGCAGAAATGTGCAAAATATATCACAGGGATATCCTGATGTTTTATATTATCTCATTTGCACCATTTATACCATTTCAGCCATGTGTGTCACTTCTCTTATTTTCTTTTAAATCTTTCGCCTTACTAAAAAGATGAGTCTACCATATACTAAAATGACAGATTCTGAAAAGATTAGCAAAGGCCTCTATGCAAGGGAGAATGTATCATGAATCAAAAGTGGAAGAATCATAGCATATACTATTTTATTGCGTAACAAGAGAAACAAGATCAGCCCTACATAATGAGATACCACATGCTATCATTCTTCTGCTTCTGATTTATGATACATCCTCCCTTGTATAGAAGCCTTTGCCAATCTTTTCAAAATCTGTCATTTTAGTATGTGGTAGACTCATCTTTCTAGTACGGCAAAGATTTATTTTTTGTCTGTTATTAGAAAAGCTAGGGAATGCATTTGTAATTATAGAAAAGACGGTCCTCACCTCCGTGACAGATTTCTTAACCTAAATTATATCGTCAACTGTAACAATTATCTTGCTCCACAAAGCAGAACGACGATTTTTTCAAGTACAAAACTTGTTTGTCTTGCAAAAACGCGTCGATTAATTGTTTTTTTTTCGAAATCAGAGGTGAGGGGTGGAAGTCTTCTATATAATTATCACATCATTTAATGATAGTGTCTATTTATGCAATAATATTCAAAATCATAAACCACAATTATCTGCAAGTATCATTATGTATATAATTACAAATTGCAGCATTCTCCATATTGCATTCTGGTAATTAATATTTGCTTATAAATTTTTGCAAAATTTGTTTTAACAATTTGACCAAAGGTGCACCGTAAACATGAGTAAACAATATAAATATCTGTAATAACTATATTTACAAATATTTACATCATTTAATGATGTAAATATAACGTACCTTTGGTCAAACTATTAAAACAGCTTTCACTGAATAAGCAATTTTCCGAACAGCGGTTTAGCAAGATACGAAAAAAATATTAGCCAAAAATTAAGTAAAAATTCTAGTTTGCATTACATGTAAAAAATTTGTAATATATATCAACTGATTATTTAAAGATGATATGGATTACCTTATAAATAACGTCGTTCAATATTCACTACTGCTTGATTCCTTCCTGAGATAGATGGGCTATATAACAAAGACGTTGCACGCCGGTTATCTCTGGAGCAGCACAGGTCTGTTCTTTGTAGGTACACTAAATTAGGTACGCAAAATTTGTACACACCGGCGCACCTATAAAGAACAGACCACATCGTTTTTCAGACGATGCTAATAGTTATATAATATTAAAATGATATTAATGTAGCATTTGTTATATAACGTGTAATATTTCTATTATATCGATGTTATACAATTATAACCAATAAATAACAGACAAATATAACAGTTATAAAATACAGTTATATTGTAGTTACAAAAGAAAATTATGTAACATCAATATTAATAATGTATAACTTCTGTTATATTGCATGTTACTTCTAGGTTATATAATAGTTATATTCGGTGTTTGCTGGGTAGTAATTTTGAAACATAGTCTATATTGATATTCGTCGTATATCGAATGTTGTTGCGTTGTTTTAATTTTTAACATGAAAGGTTATAATGTTCTGTGAATACTATAAGTATACATTATATAAATACAGGTCACAAGAACGTTGTTGGAGTCATTGCGATAATTGCGTGCCGCTCGATCGTCATGTTAAGCAAAGCCACGGTCAGGACACGGAGGGGGGTGACCGACCGCTTGAAATCAAAGCTTATCGACGGGGGGACGCAAGACGCGAGAAAATTAGAAGTAAATTTTTTACATAACAATAATATTACAATTATATAACAGCTATATAACATTTTAGTAACATCCCACTCGGCATGTAATATCTCTAAAACATTGCTACAATGTTTCATTTGAAATATTACACCTTTCAGCATTTATTATAGAAATATTTCAGGACTGTTTCAGAAACATTTCTGCAATATTTCAATGTCCGCGATCATTTCAAATGCAACCTTGCTGGAAAATTTCCGCAATATTTTGGTAATATGACTGCAACATTTCTGAAACATGTCTATATATTAATAATATTGCAGAAACACCTCAGAATATATATTTCAGATACATTTCTTCCGAGAAATTGTGGATATATTTCTAGGGCTCCATTCTCGAACTTGTACGATAGATTTTCACGTACGAAAGTAATACTGTGCGTTCACTGATTGGTATTAACTTTTTAATCTCAAATTACATACCAATCAATGAACGCACAGCATCACTTTTGTATGCGAAAATTTATCGTACGCATTCGAGAATCAAGCCCTAGAAATATATATATTACTGCTTATATATATACTTACTGTAATACATATTTTGAAATAAATATATCTCACAAATATGTCTAATACATTAACATTGATTATATTAATAGAAGTCGTTTGGCAGACGGTGCGTTTCCACTGAACGCGTCACGCGTCGCGTCAACTGTTGTTAGCAAATCAAAATATCCTATTTGTGATGTAATAAAATGGGATGTTTTGATCGATTAATGACGGACATTGCGACGCATGACGCACTCAGTGAAAACGCACCCTCTGGTAGACTTCTATTAATTACTATGATAATTAATTTACATTATGATAAAAATGCGTGTAAAAAATTGAACACTTCCATTTTGTCATGGTTTTCTAAATATCTCTTTTATTATATTTCTTACAAGAGAAAAAGACAATATTAGTAATTAAGTAATTTAAGTTATGATAATTAAAGTATAATCACTTTAAGTTATATAGTATGTTAAATCTTAGAACAGAAAAATGTAATATGTTCAAATCATAGACAGAATCATAGACAGAAAAATGTAAAGAAACCTCTTTAAAATATTATTACATAGTTTCCTCTTCGTCCTCAAATGTAGTTTTATCACTATCGTTTTTCGAAGTATGTTGTTCAATTAGAATTGCGTCTTTTTTTGTCTCTTTAGCTTTGAAAAATATATATATTTTAATACATTATACAAATTTTAATACTTATACAGTACAACTTTTATGTAAAGTTAGTATTACTTTTCTCTGGATAAACGTAAATTTGCTTGGGCTAACCAAGGTGCAATACTTCTACGTTGCACATTATACTCGTCAACGTTATTACGATGAAGTTGAGCAGCTTCTAAAAGTTATTATTGATTATAAATTAAATCGTACACACTTATGCTATACAATTGATATCATTATCATCAAAACTTACTGATTATACATTTGAATAAATTCGTATTTTTAAACGCTATTTTCGACTGTGCGTCATCCCTTTTTTTTAAGTTTTTGCCTTGAATATTGAAAAATGTAGCCAATTTATTCGTTATAAATCTTCTTAGAATATTTTGAACCAATTCGTGTGTCTCTGAGCCACCAATACATTTCATGAATTTAGCCTACAGAATAAGTAATGTTCAAGTACAGAAATAAACAATTCATTCAGTAATTATAAATTTGTTAAAAGATAAAAAAATATTAAAATAATAAATGTAATAAAATCTATTCTATTATAGAAAATCATTCTATTATAGAAAAAAAGAAAATATTATAAAAAGAGTATTATCGTTATTCCAAATAACCGATTGTGCACAAACTGTTGCAAATTTCCTTAAACTAATTATTTTTTATGAATATTGTAGAGTATACATATACGTAAATAAAATAATAAATGTAGAATAGTAAAATATTTTAAATAAAAGAGTAAATAACTGATAGAAGTTTTATTCTTTTTATAAAAAATATTAGACAACATATTCAGTTCTGGTGATCTGAGATACACGATTCTTGTTAAAAAGTAGTCTTTCAATTACTAATTTTTGTGCTTTTCCTACACCTTTAGTTTCTAAGACTATGCAAGGTTGTATATATTAAATGTAAAATGAGAAGGTAAACTCTTATAACATATAAAAATAATATGCTTTTCACTGCACTCCTGCATCAACTCGTATAACTATTGTATAAACATACATGCACAAACATTCATAATATATATTCATTATTGCAATATACTAATTTTTTTTATTGAAATATTTATAATGCAGAAAATATTAATTAAAATATAAAATTAAGAATTATTTTAAAAATAGATTAATAAAACATTAATTTAAAACAATGTAATCTGAAATATCAAAATTTTTAACAAATATGTAAATAAAAATTATAAGAATTTTACCCAATAACCACAACTATAGTAAGCAATCTCATTAAAACACACTACAGTTACCTTTTAATTTCATATTGGTAAAAATTATAATTGTTTTCTGTGTAGCCTTTGCCTTCTTACAAATTATACATGAACCTATAGTTACTGTTCTTGTACCTAAAAATGTTTTATTATTAATGTTATATTATATTTGCTCCAAGCAAGGTGCATTTCAGCATATTATTTCAATAAAGGACAAATTTATATTGTCGACCAAACAGGCAGAATAATTATATTATAATATTTTATAATTTTTTAAATAATTTAGTTTTTATAATTTTTTACTTATAATAATTTTTAATATGTTTTAATACTTTTATATTTTATAATTTATATATTGTTAGTTTTTCATAATTTTTAAAGAAATTAGAGCTATAGTATTAATAATAAGGATAAAAATTATAATACAATTGTGTACTTACCACTTGTCGAAGATATTCATGTTTATCTAATTTGTCAAATTCATTAAACTTGTCAACTGTTTGCAATAGTATAAAATCTTCAATTTCGTTAGTTATAGAAGTTTCATTTGTTAATCTACCTCTTCTTGTATTTAAGATATTTTCAATAATCTGTATTCTTTTATTCAAATCTTCAATTGAAATTGTAAATTTATTAACTTTCTTAATTATATCCTTGCTAAATTCTGAAATAAAAAAAATTACATCAAATAATTACAAATTCTGATAAAAAAAGTAATAAGAAACATTTTTAGAACTGATTCAATAACACATACTGTACGTGATATTTACCTATAAGACTTAAAAGCATTTCTTCAATGTTTGAACTACTGGGGCGAGTTAAATGTACAGCTGGTTTCAATAGACTCTTTTGATATACTATTAAACTGCTTTGATTATCATTGTTATCGTAGTTTGCAGGTAATGTTAATGAAGAACTACTATTAAGACTATCACCAACTGCTATTTCCTTTTCAAAATTTATCTGAGTTTTTTTAGCATCTATAAAATCAACACAGAAAGAATGCAACGCAAAAAATACAAAAAGAAACTTATAGCATTTATACAGAGTGAGTAATTATACATTTACAAAACTATTAAGCCTCCTGCGGATATCACTAAAAAAACGCGCATACTATCTATTGCCAGGTGGTGTGGAAAGGATAGCATAGATAATCATTTTCGCGAGGAAAACGTGTGACGAAAACGCGCATTTATTTACACATTCAGAACGTCTCGCGTCGAGAGAGAGAGAGAGAGAGAGAGAGAGAGAGAGAGGCGTAAAGCAGATGGCACATAACTTAATATTATTAAAAAATTGTAATGTAAAATTTATAATTTATCACAATTTCATTCAATTAAAACAATATTAGAACGAAAAACTTTAAAGTGCTATTTTAAAATTATTGAATGCGTTATGATAAAATTGTTATGAGATTATCTCACCTAAAGATTTATTTGTAGTTGTAGTATATTGCAAAAAAGATTGAAATTGTGCTGGCTTTAATGGCAAATTATGAGACTTTTTTACTTTTTTAGTAGATTTAGCACTGTTGTAACTTTCGTCGTTTGAAGTGGTGGCATCATCTGTAAATTGATATATTTTTTTATGACGTTTTGATCTTGATTTTTTCAACTTACTTTCATCTAATTCAGACAATTCTGCATCAGATACTATTTGAATAATTTGTAGAATGTCTTTTGCACTTGAGTAATCATCTGTAAATGAATATATATATATATATAAATTGATTGATATATTTATTAATCATTAACAATTATATATATATATATATATTTACACACACACACATACATGAAAATTTGAGTGATAATTGTTAATGATTGTTAATGATTATGATAATTGTTAATGATTAATTCATATATATATATATATATTTACACACACACACATACATGAAAATTTGAGTGATAATTGTTAATGATTAATAAATATATCAATCAATTTATATATATATATATTCATTTACAGATGATTACTCAAGTGCAAAAGACATTCTACAAATTATTCAAATAGTATCTGATGCAGAATTGTCTGAATTAGATGAAACTAAGTTGAAAAAATCAAGATCAAAACGTCATAAAAAAATATATCAATTTACAGATGATGCCACCACTTCAAACGACGAAAGTTACAACAGTGCTAAATCTATTAAAAAAGTAAAAAAGTCTCATAATTTACCATTAAAGCCAGCACAATTTCATTTTGTATATGTTGCTGCGGAACACCCTGTATATATAGGGTGTTTGATAGCTGATCATGCAGACGAAAGTTGGAGATAGATTGGGTGTAGCCGAGAAGAAAAGTCATGTACCATAATGTCAAATTGGCAATAGTTACCGAGTTATTAATTAAAACATGTGAGCCAACGAGCGTGTAGAGAGCGGAGGGCGGCCGCAGTAAGCGCGTAGACATTTGATACAGGCGGAGTCAGCGAGTGGCGGTAGGCGAGCGCGCGCGGCGAGAGGCAACGTAAACAACAAGAGGCGAACGCGCGCGACGAGGAGCGAGCGAGCGCAAGCGACAAGAGGCGAGCGAGCGCGACGAAGAGCGAGCGAACGCGAACGACGAGGAACGAGCGAGCTATAAGGAAAAAGCTATAAAGAAAAAGCTCGCTCGCTCCTCGTCGCGCGCGATCGCCTCTTGTCGCTTACGTTGCCCCTCGCCGCGCGCGCTTGTCTACCGCTACTCACTGACTCCGCCTGTATCAAATGTCTACGTGCTTACTGCGGCCGCCCTCCGCTCTCTACGCGCTCGTTGGCTCACATGTTTTAATTAATAACTCGATAACTATTGGCAATTTGACATTATGGTACATGACTTTTCTTCTCGGCTACACCCAATCTATCTCCAACTTTCGTCTGCATGATCAGCTATCAAACACCCTGTATATGTTAGGTTTCTCAGTTGGCGCTACTATTCTAATATATCACTTCTTTTGTACAGTAGAATGGTGTTGCAGAGTTTTATTATAGTTATAACCCAGATGGCACCGGACATCCAATGGATGTACGTTTCACGTCCAATTTATGTCCGTATGTCCGATTTACGTCCGTGGACATAAATTGGTAACAAGGATGTCCTTATTTGGACATCGGACCTGTAGGACGTCCGATGTACGTCCATCGGACATTCATGTCCAATGGACGTCCGAAGTTGTGGCAAACGTACGTCCTATGGACGTTTTTTGTAAAAAAATGAACATATAACGGACGTCCAGTGGACGTCCGTGTGCTATCTGGGAAGTTTTACTTGTAAAAATTTATGTACACATATACAGGGTGCACGATTTATCTGAAGACATTGAAATATCTCGAGAACTATGCATTGGATAAAAAAAAGTGGTTAATGAAAGTTGTTAGTCTCGAAGAGGGACATCCAATGATACCAAACTCAACCTCCCACCCCACCCTTGGGGGTGGGGGTTGGGGGCAACTTTGAAATCTTAAATGGAAACCCCCATTTTTTATTGCAGATGCGGATTCTACGCCACAAAATACGTAAATTTTGTCCGAAACTTTTTTTTGATTCGTGATAGATGGCGCTGTAATCGCAAAAAATTATATTTTCCGCAATTCTCCAGAAATGATCATTGGATTGAGAAATAAAAAATACCTGTTCAATATTTTTAAAGAACATAATAAAAGTTATTCCCCCCCCATCCTGTCGGGATAGGGTGGGTGATAACGTTCAAATCTCAAATGGGGACCCACATTTTTCATTGCAGAATTAGATTGTATGTGAAATTTTTATTGAAACAATTTTTTTCACTCGTGATAGATAGCGTTGAATTTTTCCGAGAAACTACTTTTAGCGTTACACAGGAACAACGACGAGGACGTAGTAGTTTTATGTTCCCTTCGGGTGCTTTTTTAATGTGAGTCCCCTTGCCTCTCACAGATCGGGGTGCTTTTTTAATGTGAGTCCCCTTGCCTCTCACTGTTCAATTAATTAGAGTAAGTGTTCGAAATTTTTACCTTCAACTTCAATACACTTATTGATCCTTTTTTCAAATGACTGTACACAGGATAGAAGCATATCTGCGGGAGTTTCAGCGCAAGCGTTTGTTATGCGTTCTACCATGTTTTCACGAGTTGTTGGCACTTGTTGATAAACCTTATCTTTTAGGTAACCCCACAGAAAGAAATCCGGCGATGTCAAATCAGGCGACCTAGCAGGCCAATTAATCGGGCCACCTCTGCCAATCCACCGACCATTGTAATCACGGTCTAATACTTCCCGTGATCATTTCTGGAGAATTGCGGAAAATATAATTTTTTGCGATTACAGCGCCATTTATCACGAATAAAAAAAAAGTTTCGAACAAAATTTACGTATTTTGTGGCGTAGAATCCGTATCTGCAATAAAAAATGGGGGTTTCCATTTAAGATTTCAAAGTTGCCCCCAACCCCCACCCCCAGGGGGTGAGGTGGGAGGTCGAGTTTGGTATCATTGGATGTCTCCCTTCGAGACTAACAACTTTCATTCACCACTTTTTTTTATCCAATGCATAGTTCTCGAGATATTTCGATGTCTTCAGATAAATCTGCACCCTGTATATGGGTTTTTGGGGTCGCTGATTACGAATCTGATCTCAGATCGACCCCAAACCTATTATATAATAGTAGGAACCTATTATGTATAATAACCTATGTATAACACGTACAATTGCGATATACACTTATCATGTTAGCATTGATCGTTTTTATTCATGCTAAAAAAAATAAGTATGATTATGTATTGTATGTATATGAATAAAGAATTTGTCTGCGTATTATTATACATTCTACATAGTTCTCCCTGCGATAGTGAAAATAACACACTTGAACAACCTCTACGCTCATATCACAAAGCCTGATCCACTGCGCTATTGAAGCAAATTGGTAATTCTTCTGCTATAACGACATTAACGGAAAAGACGAAACTTCAAACTGCATTTCTCAAAAATGTTTAAGATTTGCACCGTTTTTGGATATCATTTGTTACTATTACATCAATATTATACTTTTCTAAAAGTAAAATCGCGCGGTGATTTCAAGAATGAAGATTCCTCTTGTGTGAAATATTAATTATTCATTCTTTATTAATGGGAAAAGATTTTCCTTTGGTTTAAATGTTCAAGAAAAGTTATTTGTCCTCTGAGAATCTTTCAATTTTTATGTTCGTGAAAAGTTTATAAAATTCGTAAAGAAAGAAAATTATTTTACTACCTATCTGTTCAATAGTTGCGCATAAGAGATATTTTAACAAATCTGAATCTGAATCAGTCAACAAATTAAATTTTTCATTCAAAGAAGCATATGTAGGGTAAGCATAAGTAAGATAAGTATAAATAATAAATTAAATATTATTCTCTGAATATAATAATAAATAAATGTTTTTTTCTTTAGCTGAATCATCAAAGTAAATATTCTATTATAAATTAAACTTTTCGGATTACAATATTAATTTGATTTTTCAGAGTACGCTTTCAAATTGACTCTTCGGAATACGCTATTAAATTGACTTTTCGGAGTACACTTTTAAATTGACTCTTCTGACTACACATTTGTTAGTTGACTCTGTGGAATACACATTTTTAATTAACTCTTCGGAGAGAAGAAAAGAGAAACATTTTATATTTTATTTAAAAGATCTTACTTTTTGCAAAAATCTGATTGGTGAAGAAAAAAATAAATTCACGATTTCAACGAAGATCTTAAAAATATTACTGCAAAAAATAAAGTTGTTGTTATTATATACCATTGTACAATATTGAAACATACGCGCAATAATTATCTACAATTTGCATATATGGGCGGTTATGTAATTATAAGTAATATACAAATCATGACAAATTAATGTGGCCGTGCGTTATCTTTGTCGCGTCATTGCTAGAAATCGTCCGAACTCTCGAAATAATTTTCTTCCTGAATATGAATATAAAGCAACGTGAAAAGAAAATCAGGGGATGAAAGGGAGGACGCCGACGTCTGTCTTACGATAAAATCGCTGCTAGCTTGCTTCAGTTTATCGTCGCGATTGTCTATTCGCTGGTGGTGAGACAAAGACCGATTCTTCGTTTTTATCTAACTAATCTAGCTCGCTCGTGAACATAGCACAGAACAGAACTAAATAATTATGGACATAGCGTGGAATAGTACCAACAAATCGTGGACATTGGCTTAGTAGTTCATGTTCATGAAAAATGGGCCCAGTTGGCGCTTCGAATCAGCCAATTTTTCGATAACGCTGTAAATGCAGCCATGGCCGCTCTAAAGGCTCGTCTACATTAGCTGTAAGAGTAAGGCTGTAAGGTTGCAAGATATGAAATGAAATATTTTCATTCGCTGACAGCTTACGTTGCAGTCTTACTCTTACAGCTATTGTAGACGAGCCTTTAGGCTTCTCTCTGGTCTCTGGCTCCTATAGACCCTTAAGTTCTGGTGATTTGATTTTAGGAATTATATCTAGGGATGAAAAATTTAGGTTGGGAACGTTACACGACCTACGTTGCTAAGAAGCACCCAACATGGGATTTATGTGATGTCAACAGTGTGAATCCTACATAAATGTTAGTCTTGGAAATATCACATTACATTACGTGATTGTTTATTGCAGTGTTGATTATCGTTATTACCTACATGATACACAAGGAGAATTTTGACCAATAGCAGCTATCTGTCTAGATCGAATTCTGGGTTATGGTATGGCGCTGATCTAAGTGTCATATCTTGCAACGAACCGTCTATAACTTATGAAGTTATATCCCACTCAAAAAATCGTATCAAACGTGATTGATGATAGACGGCGAAAAGAGAAAGAGTGAATAATTGGATAACGCGTTAAGGATAACGGAGGGGTTTGGAATCGGCGAGAATAGAAGTGGGTTTGGCAAGTGGGGTGACCAATCGACCAACGTTCGTCTTCTCTATTCTATTTTATTCAGTCAGACTTGGATCCAAGACAGAGTTACGTGTGATAACGTATCATGCTCGGTTTAGATAAACTGCGTCGTCCTTGCTAGCTTTCATAAGCGCGATTGTCACGAAAAGGAGAGAAGCACGCGAGACGAAGATTATGAACGCGTCGATGTCGTGCAACGACCTGAACCTGAACCGTTTTCAACGACTTTCGAACTTGTTATATCTCTCACGTATCACTATCAAGAACGCGAGAATGACTTAGACCAACTTGTCAATACGTGGACAATAAGAAACTGTCCCAATACGCGATGCAAAATTCACGCTGGTTATACTGGTTGTTCTGGGTGGGTCTACTATCAATGACTATAGCCTACCCTCTACCTTCGCCACTTGTCACAGGTAAATCTCTTTTTCATTTCTTTTTTCAGAAAAAGAATTGGTTGACTGTAGTTAGTGTTAATTGATATTTATGGTCTTAACATATTAAAATAAACATTGAATATTGTATTTTGCTGTTTAAAGATTCATCAGATACTCATACTTTTTGGCAATGGGAACATTACTGGATGCGATATGCGATTGCTCTTTCAAGTGTTACAGCAACGGCATTGACTCTGGCTGGATGTCTCTGTTGTCAAAGACACAGAAGACCCAAGGGATTCCAGGTAATTTAAAAGGATCCTGACATATACTTGAGTAAGGCAGAAAGAGTAATGTTATTGCTTTACGACTCTAACACCAGTCTCTGCATTTTTTAATTATAGGACAAAGCAGAAAAATGCAATCAGGTAACATTGATGTTGCAGGTTCTTTATATTTTACCATATAAATCTATATAAGATAAAACAATAGTGTTAATCGAAGTTAATGTTAATTCTATTCTTGGAATTCTGCTTATATAAACTATATAATTTATGTATCCACATGTAAACACAAATAGTGTAAGAATTACATCTCTTATATTTGATTAGTTCTTATGAATAGAATTTATACAATTTCAGTATATGGCATATGTACTGAATATTGCAGAGTTAGCTGTTTTTAATTCAATATATATAGACAATATCCTACTGAATTAAAAAAAATCTTTTTATTGTATTCGTCCTGTAGTTATATATGAATATTACACATATTCTAAGCTTTTCAATTCTTTAGATATATTAATAAGTAGCATGTGTGATGCTAGTTGTATGCAACCAATATTACTTTATTTCTCTATTATAATCAATATAACAATGATGCAAAGATATATAAAACAGTGGTGCTATTATTATAGGAGTTCAGGGATGGAAGCAGTACAGGGCAAGATAGCACGTTTGATCGTTCTGTCGAAGGATTGGAATTGGATGTCTCCAGAACATTAGCTGCTTCTGAGAGGGTTCAATTTGAACCTCTACCTGTGGACAGTATTGTATCTGGCACGAGATCTACTACTACTTCGAAACCCAAATCAATACCTTTGTTGCATAATGAAGAACAAGATACGGAGCGTTCTATTCTGCAGGAGCCATGCAGTGAATGGTTTCAGTCCAATGAACTTAATGTTCCAAGAGAGAAGCTGAAGTACCTGCGAGAAATAGGCCACGGATGGTTCGGTAAGGTAGTTGAAGGTCGAGCGGATTTAGAACAGTCCACGGGTGTATCAAAATCGGGTGGTGTAGTCGTGAGAATACTCACGGAGGAAGCTACTACTAAAGAAAAAGCTTGGTTTCTCGGCGAAGCCACACCGTACTTGAAGCTGCGCCATCAAAATGTATTGGCTCTTCTCGGTTTCTGCTTGGAAACTGATCCGTATCTTCTGTTGTTTGAATCATGTCCGGCTGGCGATCTAAAAGGTTTCTTGTTGTCGAACCGTGATACCAAATCGAGAGAAGCTCTCACCAAGGAAAATATTCCCATACGCATCGCGATAGAAATTGCAGCCGGTTTGAAACATATGCATAACCATGGTTTCGCGCATACAGATCTTTCTGCGAGGAATTGTTTAGTCGCTCCAGATTTGTCAGCCAAATTAGGAGATTATGGCACCGGTGTAGAGAAGTATCCCAATGACTATTACATAGTAGGAGATCGGGCGTTGCCTATCAGGTGGTCTGCGCCGGAAAGCTTGAATTGTACGGACACTACAATCGAGACACAGGAGATTACGTTGCAGGCCAATATGTGGAGTTACGCGGTGCTTCTCTGGGAGATCATCAGCTGGGGAGAGAGACCTTATAACGATATGAACGACGAACAAGTAATACAAATGATCCTGTCACTGAAAAACGAATTTCCGCCAAACGGCACACGACTGTTGCAGAGTTATCTCGTTAACTGTTCGTCGAATATATATCAGGCGACTCGCTCGTGCCTAAACGTCAAGGCGAAGGACAGACCCTCATTAGATGAAGTAAAGCGGATCCTTTTGAATGAACATTCACCGCACGCGGATTTCGAGCAACGTTGGGAGAGTCTGCGTGCGAATGTATGCAATAAACAGCACGTACGTAGTGCTAGTCTACAGGATTTGCGCGGTAGCATCGATTCCGATTACTGGACTCACATCGTGAACGATACGCCGATAGACACATTGCCGTCCTCGTTTCGTCTCGGACCTGACGAACAAGTGAAAAATATGCCTGTAATGAAAAACGTTGCAATGTTTCAGGAATCCGGTTCAGAAACCGAGGAGGAGAGCTGGAAGGGTCGAATCGAACAGGGCATTTATACAGAAAAAGTGAAACAGAAGTCTAAGTCCGTGACGGACCTCATGGTACTCGTGCATATCGATCCCGATTCCGATGCGGAATGGTCGATAGGTGCGCAAGTGCCTGATAAGACTGCCAAGAAAAAACTGCCCACCACCGGTAGCGACAGTGACCTTAGACACACCGTGTTGCCGGCAAATGAGTTCGACAAAACGTTAAAAAGGCTGCGAGATTCTCTGCCAAATAACGCCACTAACATCAGATCGCTGGAAAATCTGGAACGACCAAAACTCTTAACGCTAACTATGGACCAGGGACACACGCCGATCTTACGATTGTCTCTGGACAATACTGGTAAAATCTCAGAAAATGACAATAGCATGTCGCCGAGTGCTTCCACAAGCGCAGATGGTACACGCGCCAAGAAGCATGTGCTAAGACTCTTATCAAAAGGGAATCCAGATCTCCCTCTCTTGCGTTATGTACCTGATCAAATATCTGCTGTTGAAACTTCAGAGAACAGAGAGGATCGAGATGTACTTTTCGTCGAGAAAAGCGGCGACGCGAACTTATCCGATCGCGTTTCTTTGAATAATAATATTGAAGTCGACGAACACAACGCGGTGGACGTTTTACTTTGGAATCATGCGCTAGATTCCGCCTTGGAACAGAAGATACCAGACTTCTCCGACGTAGAAGCGGAATTCACTGAATACATGGACGTATCGATAGAACCAAGTAACGCTGGCGCGCCGGAACTCACTGTAACCACCGTGTCTACGCCGGATGCCCTTCATTTTTGTGATGCCTATTCGCCTATTTATACATCTGATGATCATTTTTCTACAGTAGATAACACGGAAATTAAACGGAAAGCTAACTTGCCAAACGATGACGAGGAGGAAAGAAAACAGCTATCTACGCCAGACGATGAGCAAAGTTCTGACTCGGGTTTTCGCGACAAGGAATCTTGTGAGGAGGAGGAAGCAGTTTGCTCGACGTCTGGCAATCTCTTGCCTTCAAGCAACACTGTTGCGACCTCTAATTTGTCATATTCCGAAGAAGAGCCCTTTCAGATTCTGTTCGAATTAGATACCATTCTAGATGCCGAATATTACACGACTGCGTCTACCGCTAGTCCCGAAAGTATAACAGAAGTTGTCGGTTCCGCATTTAACGTCGAGAAAAATACATCGCCTATGAAGCAAACAATAAACATGATTCCTGAATTGCATCATATTTCTACGAATATAGATGAACCAGAACATCAAAGGGTGGATATTCTCAACTCCGATGTTATGCAAACGACTAACATGAAAGAAGACTTGGATTGTACAAAAGTAAAATTTGAAAGCGCAGTAGAAAATATTGATGTCGAGGTAGAAAAGAGAGATGTAACTCCTGAAAAAATGCAAGAGTTCAATATTCAAGATAACCTGCAGCAAACGTGCGGATTGGAAACGAAGGTTATTAATAATCAACGAGATCCGGAACAATATTTACAAGATTATGAAAACGAGGATGAGGACAGTTCGACGGTGAGTTTACGCAGCGACAACTCTTATGTGTCGTTTGGTATAGAAGAGGAATTCGTAACAGCAATTCGTAATGAACTTCGAGAGAAATTGCCTCAAGCTCAGATGCAGATCGTGGAATCCTTGGAAAGTCACGACGACGAAAATCCTTCGATTTCTAATGATGCATATGGTAAACGGTGGGATGACGAAGATGGCGAGGATGGATCTGATCAAATTAGTGACGGTGTAGATATTTCAATCAGGTAGGATTTTTTCTAGATCAAAATTTTATCCGATTATTGAATTAATAATTTCTATAATCGTATGTCTATTATGCATCTGAATGTGTTTCTCTACTTAGGTATAATGTGTACGGAACACCGCTTAGTCCCATCCTGGAAGAAAGAGAGAGTAATGTCACTTCTGAGTCGTTGATGTCTAATTCCAGAGAAGTGTCTGTCGCTTCGAAAGAATTAATGCCGTCGGATGACATATTGTTAGTCGATACTTGTACGAATGAAATGATATTATTAGAGGGATTAGGCGAACGGTTGCAGGATGAGGATCATGACACAACAAACGGCGATCTATCCGAGGAAGAAAATTTAGATTATATTTGTTCAATGACACGTCCATTGGAAGATAAATCGCGTATCATGAAGATAAGTGGAGGTGCACCGTTACCGAGTCCCGAAGAGGAATCTAAATGGCAACAATTACCTTCATCCTTCCCACTACCTTTACCTTTACCGTTACAAGATGATCTAATGTCAACAAGTTTCGTCACCGAACGCGAATGTTGTAGCCAGGATGAAGATGAGGAAGAAGAGGAAGAAGATGAAGAAGAAGAGGAAGAGGAGGAGGACGAGGACAACAGTTCTAGTTCTGGTGAATTCGTATGGAAGGTAAACTGTGCTTCCTCCTCATCTAAATATACTAAATGCTTTTCGTCATTCCATTAAATCTCGTTAAATTATACTTGACAGAGATACAACGAGCCACATATCGAACAAATACGAATTAAAAGTACCGGTAACAACGACGAAGCGAATACTGCGATAAATGTCGAATTGGAAGAGGATTTGGGTGTCGAAGATGAAGAGGAGGAAGAAGAGTTTACTCCCTCTGCTTGGAATGCCGCTCTGGCGCCTCATCGGTCAGCACTGAGATCTCCAGATAAAACATTAAAATCTGGAGTAAGCATTATTACAAATAAATAAATATTTCATAAAACAGAAAATAATTAACACGATCTGCATATTTGCATGATTATTAATAATAATTGTGTTCTTCCTCTTTCGATATGCTGCTAGGATGAGTTGGTAGGTGTGTCGATTACTTAGGTACACGAGCAATGCATGTAATTTTAACATTCCTCTCGTGACTCTTTCTCTTGCAGATTTAATTTGAGGTATTTAGCGCACGTACTTTTTTACGAAAAAGAAAAAGAAACGTAATATGTTACATGTTAGATATACGCTGAATATAGACGTAGCTTAAGCAAATTTTTCTCTACAATCGGACTGACGATATGTGATTTGTTTAGGATCAGAAGAAGAGTGTATGGTTTAAGAATCAACGCTATCATTGCGTGTACGAATATCCGAAGGAAACGATGTCTGCGGACAGTCGAACAGATACTACTACTAATTTGGAAGCAACTTCATATTCCGGTACGCTTTTCTCGCATTCGCGTAAATATTGTCTACACAAAATTTAAAGATTATATACAGGGTGTCTTTTTAATCTTAACAGGCAAATATTTCGAAAATGTGCAATTTTATAAAAAAAATGTCTCAGATAAAAGTTATATGATTTAAAGGAGGATGTATAATGGTCCCCTTAGTTTGACTTTGAAACGTATATTTAAAGTCAGATGAAGGTCAAACTAAGGCCACCATTATATGTCCTCCTTTAAACCATATAACTTTTATTTGAAACATTTTTTTTTTGTAAAATTGCACATTTTCGAAATATTTGCCTGTTAAGATTAAGAAGACTCACCCTGTATAATTCATGTATTCTATTGGGTTGGCCAATAAGTAATGTCGGATTTTTCCGTAAGAGGTCGTTTCTACGAACAGCAAAAAAGATTTTTGATGTGCATGGTAATGGTAATAGTGAATGAAAGAATAGTGCAAAGATGGTTCACAAAGTTTTGTGATGGAGAACTGATGACAAACGTTCTGACAGGCCTATCGAGATTGATAACAATCAAATCTTTAGTCTAATTGAAAATAATTCAAGTTATACCGTACGAGATTGTTGAAATGTTAGGAATATTGAAATCTAGCATTGAGAACTATTTGCATCAACAATCAATAATTGCATGGTTTCCAGGTATGATTTTTAGGTTCACGCAATTGCCTGTTCTGATATTATTTTTTGGCCAACCTAATATATAATATATTTATTGGATTATATTATATGATAATTTGAACTCAAATAAGCATGTAATCTATGTTATAGATTGGGAAGAAATGATGGATGAACCACGATTAGATCTATATTCTTTAGGTTATGACGATGTGAATCATACTGGTAAAAATGAATTTCAATAAGATAAGATATTATAATAAAGCACTTTTAGCAGATTTAAAGCAGATGATATTGCATTTAGGATATTTGGTATTCATTGCTTGATGATACCATATAATGACATGTTTATTTTTGTTGCAGGACACGAGTTTTTTGTGACCAGTTCGAGTCGACCTTTTCAGTTTCAAACTGGTGAAAGTAAGTATGTCAGCCAGTTCTTTCCTGGTGCGAACGCAACTTTATTCTCCAATGACCGAGATGAAACAGATAGTTATCGACAAAAGTCACCACAACATAATCACATTGATTTCGCCAACGAATACGAGCAGTACCAGCAGCAGCAGTATCAATTAGGAGAGTTACGACACACACGAGATCGTTTGAAGCTAAATCTATTATCATCGAACGGTACGCCGTCCACCTCGTTCGTTCCTGTAAAGCAACTGCATGCGAGTGATGAGCAAGTAAACGCTGAAGAAAATCACGAGTCGACGAATCTTATCGAAAACATCGCGCAGGACCAATGTATTGTATCGAATCAGGTGAATGATAACGCGTTACCAAAGGTGCCTCACGAAGATGTACAACTTGGTCTATCTTCAAGAAGTTTTCAGTATAATAGCGAGGAAACGTTTGAACCCACCAACAAGTGCAGTGTTTTAACTCCTGACTAAAATGACACTAGAGTTTGTAGTGTGTGTGCGAAGTTTTGTGTATATGATTGCGCGTACGCGTGTGTATGTATGTAGTGAGAGAGAAAAAGAGGGAAGAAGAAAAGGAGAGAAGGAGAGAGAGACCATTTCAAGTCCGTCCGTAATAATCTCATCAAAATATCTCATGAAAATACGTGATGATTTTTTCCCTCAGATATTATATGGTTTGACGGTTGTCGCTGATGAGATTAATACTACTATGACATGTATCTCAAACAAATGTAAATAATAACGATATAGCGGATTATCGCTCAAGGCTGTAATTCGATTGGTTGTCTAATGAGTTTCATCTTTTGTTAGCAAAGTTGTTAGAATTGTCCCATAGTAAATACGAAAATTTGTCAATATAAGAAATTACAGCTTTATACTAATGAAACTAATTGTTTATATAATTATACGGGGTATCTCATAACTCAGTATGTGGAATTCTTGGAGATATAGACCGAATTAAGACAAACATAAAAGAGTTATTAATTATAGAAATGTAACGAGTGAGCTCGCAGCGAAATGAATTATGAGAAGCGTCGCAGCTGCTCGAGCCACCCAGTGCGATCCAGTTGATCCAAGAATGTTGATGGTGTGCGGCGAGATAAAATTGCGAGTGGCGGCGCGTTTTTCCCTTCGCCGTGCACTGGCAACAGTTGCTAGATCGACTGATCCGCGCTCTTGCCCGAGCTAGCTGCAACGCTTCTCCAGTTATCCATCTCGACTTACTTATTAGATTTCTGTTATTAATAACTCGATAATTATTGCAAATATCACAAAATAATATGAGACATTTATGTTTGTCTTAATCTATTCTGTTTTCACGAATTTCTCGTATTGAATTATGAGACATCCTGTATATACGTGTATGCGTGTGTGTGCGTGTGATTATTTATAATTGTATGTATGTGTGTGCGCACGTATAGTATGTCACAAAATGCGCGCATACACACACACACACATATAAGTCGAGCTTTATTAAATTACATGCGCATGTGCGTGTAATTACATATGTATAAATATATGATTTAATAAAGTTGACTACTTGCATGATGAATTAGTAGTACTATAAGAACGAATAAAAAGCGATCGAAAGATTGTGCTAACTGTAGATAAGAATATTAATTCTAGACAATCGATTTGTAGAAGGTGCATCGAAACTATTACGAACAATTTTTAGCGCATGTGTAAATAATATATACACATACATACACACCGTTCGTAGCATAATCATTAAAGGAGCAGTAGTGCCTGCGTAGAAATGTATGATTATTTTTGTGACTCCTATATAAGAAACATTTCACTCAGAGTATGAGCGTCCTTCTCTCGCATTATTTTTCTTTGTACCGACATTTATTATCACGCATCTCTCAATATTCATTATACGCAAATCTGCTCTCTATTATCAAAGTATTGTATAATATTGCGAAGTATATACGAGATATATACACGTTTTTATGCAAAGTATATACGAGATATATACACGCTTTTATGCATTCTTGTGGCGAAATGACTTGCACGACTAATTTTCTATATGATGTATACATGATGTTTCGTGATATAGATTTTTACTTTTACTAGAAGATCTGTGATGAGAGATTACAATGTGTATTCGTATATTCAATCCGTTTTATATCCGTTTTATATGACAGTCACTGTGGTAAATTTCGGATCTGATGAATCAAAAGTTTGTGTGCATGCATATATCGAAGCAAGAATTCATAAAGGTGATTTATTTCTCCAATACATCATGCATGAGATCATATTGCATATAAACATTTTTTTTTTACTCTATGTTACATATAAGTATCAGATATTATTTTATTTTTACGTTAATGAATAACTCCGTGTGGGTCTACAGTATATCCCTTTATACCATATTTGAGAGAAATGTGCAATATATAAACGTAACGATCAATAACTCTGATATACATACATCGTAAAAGAAGATATTTCTATGGATCTAAAGTACTCGCAAACTTACGCGGACACAAGATTACCATTTTTACAAACAATTTTTATAAGTATGTTTGTTTGCAATAATGTACTTCGTTTTTTGTATATTTATTTACATCGAATATATGAAAAAATTAACAAAACTCGGAACGAATTAATAGAATCAGTATCGAAGTGAAAACTGCTATTACTACTATACCACCATTACTTTAATGTCATATGTATAATTCTTTGTGCCACTATTGCTTCATGAAATGGCTCGAAGAGATATATAAAAAAATCACCGCTACTATAGCACCGTGAGCACTATTATGGTTCTCACAATTACTATTGATACTGCTTTGTGCTCACTATGATATAAGACAAAATAGAGAACATTAATATATTGTTATACAGAAATAACCGTTTATTCAAACCGTGTTCTTAGATTCCTTCATTTTACAATATTCATTCTATCTTATTGTATCTCATTCTATAATATTGTATTACTAATAATTTTAACATATACATCTTATTTAACATCTTTCCTATTCAATTATTTTATTCTGATATGTACAAGAACCAATGTTAAATATTTATGTTACTTATTAATATTTAAAGATATTTAATGTTAAAAACTTATTTAATTATCTATTTGACAGTATTACAAAAACTAAAAACTTGATTTGTTAACTCATACTATTTAAAAATAAAACATTTGTCAGACCTGCCGTCGAATGATATTGTGACTTCTTCATTAAAGGAGATGACCAGTTGTCGCTAAAACTTCAAAACTAATAAGGCAGAACTCGAATCTTGCATGGCCAAAATCGATAATTTGAAAACAGAAGTATTTTACCAACAATATATCAAAGATAAAATTTTCCCTCAATGGATTTGTAATTTTTTAAATTTGTAATTTTTTCTTATGTGTAATATACATAATATTTTAATAGTTTATCCAAAGATTTGAAGAATTTTATTGGAAAAAATAGGACTTTCTAATCTAAAATAGGCTTTCTAATCTGATGAAAATCATAAAACATGCAAAGGAATGCTTTATAAATGACGCTGATGATTACGCCACAGAATGACCAATCCATCGTGATCTGCAGACGCAAGTAAAGATTCATCATAATTAAACGACAATGTTATTGTAGACGTCGCATGACCATGCAGTCGGTTGATTCTTGCGGACTTTCCTTCTCTTGCACAGTCTAACAGATGAACAGCTCCATCCTCTGAGCCAGTAGCTATTAAACATGCACCCATTTGTGGACAGAAAGTAGACCGCAATGAATAATATCTATAAATATATGTTTTGTGTGGCCATATTGTATTGAAATAAAATATTTAAAGAAAAATCGATTAAAGAGTCTTACACAATAAGACGATACCTATGTTTAATGGGATATTTTCTCCAAAAACATAAAGAACCATGACTATCAACGACGTGATATAGCAACACCATGTTGCATGCGCTGTTTATTAATAATGCTGCCCAAGGAGCATCTTTTGATAACCAAGAGCGCCAAGAAAGACTGGTTATCATACTACCAGTTTCCAGTACTCTTTGTAGCTTTGTTAACCTTCCTATACCTGGTTCCAATCGGAAAGAGACTATCACACCTCTATCATTACCAGCCCAAATTATTGAACCACCGCTGCCCTCGCATGTCAGAGAAAGAATCTGGAATATTATATAGTAGTTAATCAACCTTGCTTATTTACAGCATTGTTAAGGTTCTTATTCTAATATATCAACCTTTCCACCGATCTTACACGATCCACCACGTGTATATATACCAGTGGATACATTTAAAATCTGAATCAGGCCTTGAGAATTTCCAGCTATTATTAAATTATTGTTAGCAGGAATGAAACTGCAACAAAGAACCTCAGCTCGTTGTTGATCATTCACCACACGCAAACAACTTGGTTCCATATCCACACACACTCTCCAAAGTCTTATTGTAGCATCCAAAGAAGAGGAAACTATAAGATCATTGCAGATACTCCAGTCGAGTGCAGTTACACCATTATGATGACCTTCCAACAAAGCAATTACTTTTGGGGGTGTGCTAATGACCTCACATATAGACAGCGTACCATCTAATGATGCACAACATAATTTAGATCTGTCATTGTTGGCGAATTTGAGCATAGATACAGCTGTCTTATGTTGGTCAAAAACATGATGTACACCAGCAAATGCAAAATTCTCTGCAGTTGATTTCCGCTGTATTGTGTGATGTTTCATTTTCTTTTCTAATGATTCTTCATTAATTGTATGACTCCCTATGCTGTTCTGTTCTTGACAGTCTCCATAACGTCGGCATAATAGTTTTGATCGTAATTTTAAATACTGTGTAACAATTTCTAGATCTCTAGAAAATTTCTCACGGAGTAACTGATTTCTACGACGAATATACAACATTCCTACAAATAAGGTTTTAAACATTAAAATTGATTAATTAATTAATTAATCATTAGTTGCAATCACATTTTAATTGCAATAATAAAATTAGAACATACCTAAACTGGATAATTTAGTAGCTCTTAGAGTATTATATTTTGCATCCAATGCAAATATTTGTTGATGCCACATAGTGGCCATTTTTTGCAATGTATTATTTACTTCAATCGTACTGGCTTAAAATTTTGTTATTGATGCGTATACTTCATAAACATTAGGCCTGTTCGTTTTGTCTGCACTGCTGAACTGGTGCAACAGGTTGAAGTGAGAAAACCTATGTTTGTCTCACTTTTGGTCTGTTCTTTGTAGCTGCACTGCTGAACTGGTGCAATAAGCTAGAGTGAGAAAACCTATATTTGCCTCACATTTAATTTATTGCACCAGTTCAACAGTGCAGCTATAAAGAACAGACCATTTAACTTAAAGCCCGTATCAGACTATGGATTAAAGATTGCGATTGCGGATTGGGGATTGGAAATGGACGAATCAGAATGTAGTAGGTCTGGATTGGAATCGTAAATCTATATCAGACTATGTAATGAAAATTGAGATTGGATTAGGATTATAGATTGCATATCACAGGTCGACCAATTAGAACAGTGCCCGGAATTACTTGCACGATCGGGCCGATTTCTGAGAGCTACGCCTCCTTACTTCCCCTTATCGCTCCAGCCCGCACGGCGGACCAAGAAACTGACAGTCGCGAGGCGCTGTCTCAGGCACGTCACATGAGACAGTCACATGAGACGCTTCACAGTTTAACATAGCTGAAACAAATTTATTTATTAAAATAACTCCATAGGCATTTTTTATAGTTTACTAATATAATATAGTCTTAATATTAATATAAATATATGTTAATAGAAATATCAATATAAGTAATATTCTTAATATAACTATAATATACAGTATTAATGTATTAATATTATTATAAGTACAAAGTATAGGTTTTCTATATTATAAAAAAACAATAGGTTTCCACGTCACCCATGAGGTACTATTGCCAACGCGTTTTTTTTTAAGTGGTATCCCCTGTAGGCCTATTCCACTGAAGAAGAAAAATAATTTTGATCGAGAAAGAGAAATTGAAAAGAAGACGAATGTATCAAACCGATTTCCTAATCCTTTTGTGCGACTGAATAAGCGACGAGATATCTACATTAATATTAGAGGTGCTTGTTTGCATCAATGAGGATAAGGATGCATCATTTAAAGAAGAACGTTTATCTGTTTTTATATATTTCATCTTAGAAAAGGAGCACTCACATAAATATGTAGAACCAAACATAGAAGAAATACGAAGTGCAAAATTTATGAGATTGGGATAAGAACATGGCTTTAAAATTTTTTAAAATTCTATTCCACTTTCCGGTCGCGTTTTCAGAGAAATATTTGTTTGTAAACGGCACAGTTCTTCCTGAAATTCTAACTTCTGATCTTCAATATGAACAGTGCGAGGATTTTCAAAAAGAATTAATAGAAATATTAAGAATATTACAGTGTATACAGTGTATATTATAGTTATATTAAGAATATTACTTATATTGATATTTCTATTAACATATATTTATATTAATATTAAGACTATATTATATTAGTAAACTATAAAAAATGCCTATGGAGTTGTTTTAATAAATAAATTTGTTTCAGCTATGTTAAACTGTGAAGCGTCTCATGTGACTGTCTCATGTGACGTCCCTGAGACAGCGCCTCGCGACTGTCAGTTTCTTGGTCCGCCGTGCGGGCTGGAGCGGTAAGGGGAAGTAAGGAGGCGTAGCTCTCAGAAATCGGCCCGATCGTGCAAATAATTCCGGGCACTGGCGTACTTGACAAGCACGGTCTCGCGCATTGTTATGTATTTGTAACATGAATTAACATGTTAACATGCACAAAAAAATAAGAATTAAGATTGTATATGATTAATATCATGAAGATTATATACGATTTATATCGATATATAAATATATGATAATAAGATAATATTTTGTGTGTACCCAAAATTATTTTTCCAAAATATTTCAGCGTTACGTTAGTATTTATTTATACTCCGGCAGACGTTTTTTAGCGCAGTTGTGTCCGTGTGCATGTGTTGCATTGAAAGTTTGCGTGACGTACGTGTGCATATACGCACTCATACGCAACAGATAGAATCTCAGGATATATGCTTAAACATTTTAAATTGCCGTACGTTTCCGTGAAGAATGTAGTCGGCACACACACACACACACACAAAGAAACTGCTCCCGTCTATCCGTCTGAGGTCCCGCCCTCCGCTCGGCTTGTTTTGACGAGCCAAGCGAAAGGGAGAGAGAGAGAGGGAATGTGTTCGCTCCATCTCGCTCTGATTCTCAACGTTGCCGAGATTGTGCTTCCCGACACACGGCCGAGACTGACGTTTCACTCTCGGCGTGAATCCACGAACGAGATGATAAATAGCAATCGATTTCGACCAAACTCGTTGTGTCGATAGATTTGTATTACAAATTAACATTGCACTTAAAGATACGGCATAGCATTGAAGCATATGCAAGAAAGTCGCGATTAAAAATCGTGAGTGATTCATGAACCAAATGAAGGAGCGAGTTTCTCAAAGAGCGTGTGGCTTGGTGGAAGTGCGCTAGACTCGCGAGGTTGAGGTCGGTGGTTCGCATCTCCTTGGCGGTCGGCGTTGTCCTTTTTCGCCAATCTTTTTTTTTTTCGTTTTTTAGGAAAATGCACGTGTTGCACACAACATACGTGTATCACAATAAATTATTTTTCATTTTTTAAGAAAATGCACGTGTTGCATACAACACGGGCATCGCAAGCATTGCACGTTTCGTCGATGACATTTCCTCTGAGACCCTGCCCTCCGCTCGACTTGTTTCGACGAGCCAAGCAAAAGAGAGACAGAGAATGTGTTCGCTCCATCTCGCTCTGTCTCGACACGCACCCGAGGCTGATGTTTGTCTTTCGGCGTGGATTCGACGAGGGGACCAATAGCAATCGATTTCGATTCGGTGCGTCGATTGACTCGCATGAATTAACATTGCATGTAGATCGGCGTTACCTTTTTTTTCCATTTATTTTATTATTTTTTTTTTTACCTGGGGAAATCCTCATGGACACCCCGGCTCCTTGCCGAGGTAGTGCCGAACTCTTACCGGCTAAAACCCCACGGTGACTTACCTCTGGCGCGATGTTTGGGAGGTCCTTCCGCGCCTGTCCATATATAACTTTTCTTTTCGTAGGTCATATTAATTTTTTTCTGTAACTATCATGCATAAAACACAGTTATAAATTGAAAATATATTTACATATATTCTTGAAAAACAGATATTATTTACATTAATAATAATCAGCTATTTTTTTCAATCTATAGTTTACGTTATATCATAAAAAATGTTTGTAAGTATAATATATACCTATTTGTATGTGCTTGTATGAATATTCTCTATATTTCTATGAGGAGTGTTTTTCTGTGAAAAGAGCCTACGAAAATCATAAAGTTGTGATGTATAACATAGGATGCAGAATCGTTAAACATACAAAATTTTGAACTCGAAACAAAATATTCCATTTGTTGGCATAAATAAACATGACTTAAAGATCGCAATCACAGTTGAAACAATTGCATAAATCTTAGGCTAGCAGGACTCATTACGGTGAACCATATATATATATAAATATACATGTATATTTATATATATTCCACATTTTTTGCTTGTTGGTACTATTCCGTGCTATGTCCATAATTATTTGATTCTGTTCTGTGCTATGTTCACGAGCGAGCTAGATTAGTTAGATAAAAACGAAGAATCGGTCTTTGTCTCACCACCAGCGAATAGACAATCGCGACGAAGCGAGCCAGCAGCGATGTTATCGTAAGGCAGACGTCGCGGTCTCCCCTTTCACCCCCTTATTTTCCTTTCCACATTGTTTTATATTCATAATTCGGGAAAAAAATAATTTCGGACGATTTCTAACAATGACGCGACAGAGATAACGCGCGGCCACATTAATTTGTCATGACTTTTATATTACTTATAATTGCATAAACGCCCATATATGCAAATTATAGATAATTATTGCGCGTATGTTTTAATATTGTACACTATGGCATATAATAACAACAACTTTATTTCTTGCAGTATTTTTTTAAGATCTTCGTTGAGGTCGTGAATTAATTATTTTCTTCATCAATCAGTTTCCTGCAAAAAATTAGATTTTTTAAATAAAATATAAAATGTTTCTCTTCTCTTATCTCCGAAGAGTTAATTAAAAAATATGTACTCCACAGAGTCAACTAACAAATGTGTAGTCAGAAGAGTCAATTTAAAAGTGTACTCCGAAAAGTCAATTTAATAGCGTATTCCGAAGAGTCAATTTTAAAGCGTACTCTGAAAAATCAAATTAATATTGTAATCCGAAAAGTCAATTTATAATAGAATATTTACTTCGATGATTCAGCTAAAGAAAAAAACATTTATTTATTATTATATTCAGAGAATAATATTTAATTTATTATTTATACTTATCTTACTTATGCTTACCCTACATATGCTTCTTTGAATGAAAAATTTAATTTGCTGACTGATTCAGATTCAGATTTGTTAAAATATCTCTTATGCGCAACTCTTGAACAGGTAGGTAGTAAAATAATTTTTTTTCTTTACGAATTTTATAAACTTTTCACGAACATAAAAATTGAAAGATTCTCAGAGGACAAATAACTTTTCTTGAACATTTAAACCAAAAGAAAATCTTTTCCCATTAATAAAGAATGAATAATCAATATCTCACACGAGAGGAATCTTCATCCTTGAAATAAGCGCGTGATTTTGCTTTTAGAAAAGTATAATATTGATGTAATAGTAACAAATGCTATCCAAAAACGGTGTAAATCTTAAACGTTTTTGAGAAATGCAGTTTGAAGTTTAGTCTTTTCTGTTAATGTCGTTATAGCAGAAGAATTACCAATTTGCTTCAGTAGCGCAATGGATCAGGCTTTGTGATATGAGCGTAGAGGTTGTTCAAGTGTGTTATTTTTAGTATCACAGGGAGAACTATGTAGAATGTATAATAATACGCAGACAAATTCTTTACATAATCATACTTATTTCTTTTAACATGAATAAAAATGATCAATGCTAACGTGATAAGTGTATATCGCAATTGTACGTGTACGCAATTGTACACATACACACACATATACACACGTATACCAATGATGTCAAAACCGAACAATTCGTGAAAATTTTTTATTGATCGCAATTGTACGCAAAGACGA